GCGCCGAGCGCGAGCGGTCCGGGAGATTGATCAGCGCTGGGGGCGAGAAACGGATCGGTGCCGCGGGCACGAGGACGCGCCGCGGAGGGCCTGAGTGTCCCGGGCAGCGGCCGGAGCAGGTGGAACAGGTCCTCCCTCCCAGCTCTGCGCGCCCGCCCGGCGCCCCCGGTCTCCGGCGCGCAGCCATGGGCGCCGGCCCCCACCGCGCGCCCCGCGCCCCACGCCCAGTGCTCTGCGTGGCTCTCGCCCTGATGGTGGCTGCCGGCAGCCGCTGCGCCTCCGCCTTCAACCTGGACACCCGATTCCTGGTGGTGAAGGAGGCCGGGAACCCGGGCAGCCTCTTCGGTTACTCTGTCGCCCTCCATCGGCAGACGGAGCGGCAGCAGCGCTACCTGTAAGTGGGGTGGGGTGGGGTGAGGGAACGTGTGTTGCGGGGTGCCGATCGGAGCAGAGCCGGAGCCCTGGGCCTGCCGACTTGCAAGCCCGGGCCAGACGGCCCCTGGAAACGGAGGATTCGGACCAGGGATGGGGTAGTCCTCTGGGCGCTGGGGTTGGCTGTGGGGTGAGGGGACAGCCATCATTGACAAGTGCTGGCCCGGCCTGAACGTGCCGAGGCACGGCTTGTCTGCCCTTCAGACTTCTCTAGAGAGAGTGGAAGTGGGGCCCAAGCTGCTGAGCCCCCTCATTCCATTGTGTGAGCCAGGTGCCCAACCGGAGCCTGGTCTTAGAACCGCCGCAAACGGCGAGATCCACACCTCAGGCACTCCCCGCCCCCACACACCTGGGAAGAACCTCGGGGCACATGTATTTCAATCGTTCCTCCCGTTTAGCACACCTCCGAATTTAATCTGTGGCCCCGCCAGCCAGCCACACCCTCTGCAGAGTCGGACTGGATGGCCTGGTCCAGCGCCCGGCGGTTGGTTGGAGGGTGAGGTTATGAGTGCTGTTGGTTGGACCTGTCGCAGCGCTGGCTCATGCTGGCCTGTTGAGGCTGTGGGGAGTCGCGGAGAGGAGGGGCGCCCCAGCCCCCGCTCCTTCTAGTCTCCTGCCCAGCCCCCAGCAGAGTGCTTTCCCCACCAGACATCTTCCCGCATTCCACAGATTCGTGTTGCATCTTCTGCCCTGAGTGTGTTTGCTTTGGTTTGAAGCGGGCAATGGCTGTTTTTTTTTTCTCTTCCCCTCCTATCCTTCTCCAACAGCTGCACCAAGGAGAGGAGGGAGACAGGCAAACATGGGGGTGGAGAGAGGGGGAGGTAGAGATCCCATTTAGCAGCTTGCCCCCATTCCCACCATACATGCACACACACACACACACACACACACACACACACACACTCTCAGAGGACATGTCTCTGCCTTGGTGACTTCTCTGCTTTGGGCCCGAGTGTGCTGGGTGGGGTTGGCAGTTGGGGGAAGAGGACAGCTAGAGGGGGTGTGACACTAGGGAGGGACAGTAATTTACGACAAGTCTGGCAGGCCTTACCCACCCACCTCTTTGAGCTGGGTGACCGGCCCACTACCTGGCCTCAGACCCCACTGAGCTCAAAGATGTGGTCAGATCCAGGGTGGCTTGAAATCCCTCCCTGCCTTACCTGGAGCCTGCGGCCACTTGAGGAAGCTTGGAATGGTCAAAGTCCAGGCTCTGCCCCAGGCTTGGCCTCAGCCCCGTGGGCCCAGCCCTTGCTCAGCCTGCCTCCCTGGACTTAGCCTCAACTCCCTCTGGCTCCTGCAGAGGCTGCGGCCACCACCCTCTCCCCAGCCTGGCCCCAGCAGCTGAGCTCTGGCCTTGGCCACGCTACCTTTTTTGGAGATCTTAGTGACCATCATCGGTGTAAGTTTGTATATTGGTATTCTCTCCACCCCAGCCCGGAAAGTGATTTCTTTCACTGAATGCTGAGTCTGCATGGTGTAAGGAAGGCAAAAACGTAAAAAGTATCAGACGGGGAAGCAAAAAGCAATAAAAAAGGGATGCCAGTGATCCTGTACCATTCCCCTGGTGACATGACCTTGATTAAGAGATTTCCCTTCCCTGGGCCAATTTTCCCCATAGAGGGGTTGGAACTGGATCCAGATGCTCCTTCCTATGGGCTGGTGTCTGCCGAGAAGCCATGTGGCATCGTGCAGGGGCTTGGGTGCCCTGCTGCCAGTGACCTGTCTTGGGTCCCTCTCTAGCATCTGAGCCTCTATTCCCACTAAGTGGGGGTGGGGGAGGGGCACAGCAGACCCACACACCTTCCTTCCTCCCTGAGTAATCAGTTGCCGGTGAGTCCACTCTGGCTCGTAGCAGCCCCGTGTGTGTCGGAGCAGAACCGTGCTCTGTAGGATTTGTGAGATCTAATTTTTCAGCAGTGGATCCCAGGCCTTCTTCCAGTGCCCCTCTGGTTGAATTCAAACCACCAACATTTCAGTTAGTCGCCTAGCACTAACAGTTTCTCAGGGGGTGCTGGTGGCAGTGTTGCGTGCCATTGAGCCAGTGTCAATGTCTAGCAACCCCATGGGACAGAGTAGAACTGCCCCACAGGGTTTTGTACACTGGTCTTTTTGACCTCAGGAGGAAATTTGGGTTTTTTTGTTGTTGTTTTGTTTTCGATCGAGCGGTTTAATGAAATAAAGTATGTGAAAGGCTCTGAATAGCCGTGCCTCCTGGGAGCAGCTGATGGTTCTGTGTCAAGGCCAAGACCCTGATGCACTCCCCTTACTCATGGATGCCACTCATGCGGCTGAGTGGAGGGCTACTGAGGCCAATGAGGGCTGCCAAGAGCCCAGACGGTTCTCAAGCTGATACTAGGTCGCTTGCTCCCTTTTGACTTCAAAAGAGAGAGAGGTGATTCTCAGGAGAGCTCTGGCTCTCCTCTCAGGGATCCCCAGTCTTCCCCAGGGCCCACTTCACTGGAGTCTGGCCCTGAAGCCCTTTGGGAGAGCCAGCTGGGCCGGCTGGGCATAACTGGACTTAGCTGCAATCAGCTGGGTAGCCAGATGTGAGCAGCTGCCAGAGCACACAGCTCAAGGCAACTAGCCAGGCAAGCTGCCGCTGCAGCCTCTGTGGGCCTCCAGAGTCCTGGGGAGAAGGGGAAGCGTTTCAGAGTCTGGGCAGGCTCAGAGCCTGGGGCTCACCTCAGGTTTCCAGGAGGCACCCCTGAAAGTATATCTGCAATCAAGGGTGTTGGTGCATTTCTGCTGCTCATTCCCCTATGTAGGCCTCGGGCCAGACATGGTTGGCACCTTCATGTGGAAGCTCAAAGCTGCCCCATGACCTTCACCTCTGGATCGGGCTCCCTGCCCATGACACAGGGGACCCATGCCAACCCAAGCCCATATCCCAAGTGCTGGGAGTGAGGGGTGGGGAGCAGGGCCAAGGTCTAAGGTGTGTGGGCCTCCTGGGCACAGGCAATGGACCTCTGGGGAAGAAGTGGCTACTGCCATCCTCACCCCCAGTGGCTGCTCTGAGAACCCAAGTGCCCTGGGCTGACCTGATTCTGTGGACTATGGGCCAGACCGGTGGGCCCTCTCTTCTTTTGATCCCTGCCTGGAAGCAATGATGGCTGCTGGAGAGCATGGAGGTGGAGCTGGCAGTGGTTCAGATGAGATGAAGTCATACCTGAGGTAGGCAGGAGCCTGGCTTACCTGTTGTTTCCCTGGGCAGGGCAGGCACCTGGCTTCCTCTGAGGCTCGTGCCTGGCAGAAATGAGCCCAGCAGCTATGTCTGCAGTGTCCTAAGTTGGGTAGGAGGCTGGGAAACCCAATCTTGCAGGAAAAAGAGTGAAAGGTGCTTGATCGAATGCAACAAAGGTGGTAATCGTGTTGCAGCAAGAGAGATTGAGGTTAGATTACAGGAAGAACTTTCTAAGGGGTCAAACATAGGGAGCAAAATGCAAAAGATCAAGGAAGAGGGAATCGAAGTGAAAAAGGAACAGCCTTGTTGTCTTTTATGGGAGGCTTGGGCCAAGGCCTTTCTCTCTCCCAATCTCATGTTCCCATTCCCACCAGCTTGTTGACAGCTGAGCCCCACCCCTGGGAGAGAGGCCTGGTGGGCAGTGTGAGCGGAATGTAAGGGAATGGTGAGAGCTGTAGTTTCGCTGCAATGGGGAGCAGCCTCTGGGGAGAGGGCTAATTTGGGAAGCAGGATGGGTACAGAGCTTGGACATCCTGGGAGAGCTGCTACACCTCCCCCTCCTCCACCCCTGGTGGGAGGGAGGGCTCAGGGGCAGGAGTAGACTGCCTCCCCCACCTGTTCCCTGGCCTGGGTGGTAGGAGAGCTTGGGAGGGGCCAGTTGGCCTGAGTTTTGGGTCCTCTTTGCCCCTCCTATCAGTAAAGCTGAGACCAAGCTCATGGAAATTCATCCCATTGGTAGCATCCCAGTGCTTCCCAAGGGGTGAGGAGGCTGCTGGGAAATTGAATTTTATGGGCTAGGTCTCAGCACCCTCCTCCCCAGTGTCACCGCCCACCCCTCGGCCCCGCCCAGGTGACTTCTCCCGAGGGGCAGCCAACCTGTGGCCCCAGTCGTCCTGGGGCCCATTCCCACCCTCCTTTCCTTTTTAAAAAAATCATTTTATTGGGGCTCATCCAGCTCTTACCACAATCTATACATCCATCCATTGTGTCAAGCACATTTGTATATATCTTGCCATCATCATTCTCAAAACTTACTCTTTCTACTTGAGCCCTTGGTATAGGCGCCTCATTTCCCCCTCCCTCCTTCCCCCATTCTCCCTCCCTCAGGAACCCTTGATAATTTATAAATCATTATTATTTTGTCCTGCGTTACACTGACCACTGTCTCCCAGCCTCCTTTTTGGACTGCTCTGATCGTTAGCTTTGAAGAGCCCGGGGAGGACTGAGAGGGCAGGAGGGAGGGAGTGTTTTTCGGGAATCTGGAGCTCTTGGGGGCTCCCCAGGGACCAGGAGGGGCAATCTGGAAGGATCCAAGGAGAGGGTGAGGAGGCACCTGTTTAAAGCTCTGAGAAAACATTTCACCTACCCCCCTCCGTCCAGGGGCATCGGATCAGGATCAGACCCAGCCCACCGGACTGGGGAGAGGGCCAAGCCCCTGCTTCTGGGCCTGGCTCCTCTCCATGAAGGCTCCCTCCTGACTGTGGTCCGGAGAGTCAGCTTCTGTGCTCTAGCTGGGACTGAACCGCAAGTCCAAGAGGGGTTTGTTTGTGTGCTAATTTACATGCTGTTTGCAGATTAGATCAGTCACCTCTCGATGATTCTCTGGTCCTCACCAACACACCTGGCCGTGACGGGAGGGAGCTGGACCTGACCCTCTCCACACCCTGCCTTCCCCCATCTCCCGAGCCCTCTGGCTCTAGCCCCATTGGATGCTGGGCTGGGAGCCAGAGGGCTTTAAAGGGCCTCTGAGAGGGCCAAGTAGGAGCTAAAAATACTCTTAAGGGAGGTGGGGGGCTCCCTGTGGAATCTCTGGAGGAGGGAGGGGCCTAGGACGGGGGGGGGGGCAGGGGGCACTGGAACTTGGGCCCCGGTGCTGCCCCACCCCCATCAGTGGGCACAAAGGTAGTGAGGGCATCAGTTTTAGTCCGGCTTCCATTCACGGTCAGAGCTGCCCGCTCAGTGCCTCAAGAGGCCAGGAGGGGCAGGCAGCTGCGCCATTGCCTCAAATGCCCCCTGGCCTTCTGAGGCTGGACCCCTTCAAGGTCATTGAAGCCAGTCCCCATCCACCGTCTCCTGCCAACTTGGCCATCACCCAGCCCCACCTTAGTGGCTGCCAGGTGGCCTCTGACCGGCAGGCTCTCTAACCCGGTGAGGGGGCAGAGATTCCTGGGAGGGGCCCTGGGGCCACTATTCTTACGCTGGCCATGGCCTCCTGGTCCCAAAGCACTTTTAAAAATGGAATCCATTTGGTCCCCCACCAGTCCTGGAGGGGGATGTTCACTGTTGGCCCCACTTTATGGATGAGGCTCCCCGTAGAGGAAAGGGCCCCCCCTAGTTACATAGCAACACCCAGCACCCCATCTTCCTTTCCCCGGGGCCTAACCAGGCACACTCTCCTCACCCAGATGCAGGGTGACTAATTGGGCCTGGCCGCCTCGCTGGCCCCATTCCAGCTTCTCTGCTGGCCACTCCAGCCTGCCCTGCCCAGAGAAGCTGCACCCTGCTCCCATGGACACTTCTTCGCCAGGGTGAGGCCTGAGCTTTGGATGTGAGTGCAGGCAGAGGTCCCTCCCCCTTCCCGGCACAACCCACCCCCACCCCTCAGGCAATGCATTCCTGACACCCAGTAGGCTGAGGCACCCCAAGCCCTGGCATGCCCAGGCCCTGCTGGGCTCCCTGCTGAGCCCACTCCCAGAGCTCAGGCAGGAGCTGCAGGCGGGCTGAGGCAGGAGGCCCAGAGGCCAGGTTCTGCCCCAGCTCGTAGTTTCAGGGTGATGATGGCCTTGCTGGGGCCCAGGAGGACACATCTGGGACCCAGGAGGCTAGGATGCAGCTGCAGGGGACAGGTCCTCAGGGCAGTGAGAGGCTGCAGAGAGAAAGTGAGAGATGATGGGTAAGGTGGGATTCTCAGATGTAAGCACACAGTATTTGGGCTGCATTGTCCTGGTCATGAAAACTGGGTGTACATAAGGGCTCTGGCTGGACACTGATGAAGACTCATACCCCAGATCCCATCCAGGGGCCTCTGACACACTAGGGGTCCGTCCCCTCCACCCACTCCATACAGGATGGTCTGCCAGGGCAATGAGGCTTTCCAAGAGGATGGGGCTTTAGCACCCTTGTGGGAACGTGCCACCTTCTTCCCGAAAATCCCTCTTTGGTCCCCACTGCTCCCCCTACCCTGGCTTAGGTCCCTCCCTGAGCTTCCCAGCCTCAGCCTCCATCCCTCCCATCCCCCCACCCCCCACCCACCAAAGACTTGGCTGGTCCTGAGCTCCCTGCTGGCTCTTGACTGCCTTCCCTCCTTCCCTTGACCAACGTCAGTCCTCCGCTTCAACTGGACCATCTCTTCTGGGGACTTCCATGGGGCATGCCCTCCCCCCACTGGGTACTCCGTGAGGGCAGGAGTGGTGGGCTCCATCACCCCCAACACACACACACACACACACACACACACACACACACACACACACCTTCCAGAGCTTGACACAGGCACATGCTCATACACACAGGTAGATCAGCAGCTGCATGAAAGGCGCCGCGTGTGGAGTCTGAACCCAATCCCCCTGCCTCCCTGCCCCACCAGGCTCTTGGCTGGTGCCCCCCAGGACATCTCCACAACAGACGGCTATACCAACCGGACCGGTGCCGTGTATCTGTGCCCACTGACGGCCCTCAAGGATGACTGTGAGCGGATGGACATCAAGGAGAAAAGTGAGCAGCCCCCCCACCCCCCGCAGCCCCAGAAGAGAGAGCAGGCTGATCTCGCAGTTTTAAGTGGCTTTCTGTCCAGCGGGAAGAGGGTGCCCGAGAGGAGGGTGACCTGAATGGGATTGCTGGGCTCTGGGCGCTCAGATGAATGGTGGGCTGGAAAAGGATGCAGGGAGGGCTGCCCTGCTGGACTAGAGGGTCCCAGATCGCAGTACTGTAGCTCATGATTGCTTCCACACTCACAGGTAACCCCAACAATCGCATCATTGAGGACATGTGGCTCGGGGTGACTGTGGCCAGCCAGGGCCCTGCAGGCAGAGTCCTGGTAAGTGGGCACTAATGGCTGGCACCCCACTGCCATCCAAGCCCATCTTCCTCCTCTGCCAGGGGCTGGAAGGGTTGGTCAGTATGTGCGCACAGGCCTCTGTCTCTCGATGGCTGTGTCTGCCGTGCGTGGTTCCCACAGGCCCGAGTCCCTTGCTGTCTGTGCTCCTTGGAGCTGGGGGGTGGGGCAGAGCTGGTGCTCTCCCAGGGTGGCCACAGCCTGGGTCCTGTCTGAATCACCCACTTCCTCCCCGCCCCCATCCTCTGGGTGCTTACCCATCGTGGGAACTATGAGGCGGAAAGGACAGCGAGGGCCTCGGGCCCTGGGCACTGGCAGGCACGCCTTCCTGGGAGGCGGGTGGGCGGACGGACGGAAGAGGCACAGCCCTGCTGACCTCAGCCCACCCGGCCTCCTTGGAGGCCACTCCTGCTGTTAGTTGTCACCCACCCCTTGCCTGCCCTCAACTGGAGCTCTAGGGGCAATGTGGTCATCTTTGCAATGGACGTGGGAATCACAGACAGCAAAACGCAGATTTGGGGCTCAGTGGGTTTTTGACATGCCCATGCAGCCAGCACCCGACAGAGGGTGTATTAACCCGGCTCTAGGAAGTTCTCTTGTGCCCCCTCAAGACAGTGGTGGCTCCATTGCCACCACTATTGGGATTTCTGTCTCCTGTGGACACTCTGTTAAGATCTGGATGTTTATATTGGGTCATCGGTGGCTTTTCTACACCCAGGATGCAAGACACCCAGGGGGCACAGTGGCTAGAGCACTCTGCTGCAGCCCCCAAGTCAGCAGTTTGAACCCACCAGCCACTCAGTGGCAGAAAGATGTCAGCATCTGCCACCTGGGACAATTTACAGCTGTGGAAGCCCGTGGGGCAGTTCTGCTGGGCTGGGCCCCTAAGAGAGCAGTGGGTCTGGCTTGGTTTGGTTGTGGGGGCTGTGGGTGCCATCTGAGGCTGGCTCTGCATGCAAGGAGCACTGGGGGCAAACTAGTTAAGTGCCCGACTGGTGACGGAAAGGCGCAAACCCACCGGCCTCTTCAAGGGGGAAGAGAGCTCGAGATCTGCTCCTGGGAAAACCTCAGGGCCTCTTCCTCGCTGGCTGCCCCGTAAGGTCCCCGCGGGTCAGCATCTACTGCGTGGTACACAGCCACCAGGCCCAGGAAAGGAGGAGGACGGGAGGCACACAGAAGACATGGGGAGGAAGCAGGGGAGTGATGTGGCTAGGGTGGGGGTTGTACTCATTGTCTGCGGAGTTGGAAGGGAAACTGATCTGCAGGCGCACCAGCAGGCTGGTAGGTCGCTTCCTGACCTGTCAAAGCCCAACAAAAGGCCAACAAGGAAAACCGGTTGCCACGGCATCGACCCTGACTCACGGTGACACGCCCCACTTTGTCAGCGTGGAACTATGCTCCACAGGGTTGGTAGTGACAAGTTTGAGGTCATCGCTGCCAAAACCTAGGGGTTGGTGGTTTAAACCCACCCTAGGCCTACGGGGAAGAAAGGCCCAGAAAACAGCCTCCCTACAGACGACAGCCAAGGATATTTCAGGGAGCAGCTCTGCTCTCCAACACACGGGTGCCTGAGAATCTGACCAACCACAAGACCACCCCCAGCCAGGCCTGCATGTGGAGGGGCTCCAGATGGGCTTGAACCTCCCCCCTTTCAGTTCACAGGAGGAGGGTCTTTGCATCTCCCAGGGGCTCCCCAAGCTGAGAGGGCGAGTGGGGCTTCAGTAACAGAATCTCCCCTTCCAGGCAGGAGACAAGTTCAGTTCCCAGGCAATGCTTCTCTGCCTCCCATCTGGTCACGGGAAAGGCCCAGGACCAGGAGTTAGGGCCGTGGTTCTCAACTTCCTCATGCCGCGACCCTTTCATACAGTTCCTCATGTGGTGGTGACCCCCAACCCTAACATTATTTTCATTGCTCCTTCATCACGGTCATTTTGCTACTGTGATGAATCGGGCGACCCTGTGAAAGGGTCGTTCGACCCCCAAAGGGGTCGTGACCCACAGGTTGAGAACCACTGAGTTAGGGGTTGGCAGGCTGCTAACAACAGCAGCCACAGGTGTGAGGTTTTAGGCAGGTGACTTAGCTCTCTCTGCTGTAGTTTCCTATCTGTAAAAAGGGAGAGAGCTGTCCCTACGCCATAGCGTTCCCATGAGGCTTACTGGATGAGTGTCAAGAGCTTAGAATCGGGCCTGGCAGACAGTAAACCGGAGCAGCTTCCACTGCTCCATCAGCATGGCTTTAACAACCGCCTGTTCGTTCCAAGGCCAGGGCCGTCAGGGGGCAGCGAGGCTGGTTCTCTGATCCACTCTGTGCCTCGCTCCTTGTAGACCCAGGAGCCTGAACTCGAGTGCCAAATCTCGAAGCCACTCTCAAACCCCGTACCTGCCTTTTGGCGTCCCCCGAAGTCCTGCTCAGCTTCGAGGCAGATGTGGGAATTCTGGAAAGCCACCATCACTGTGCAACGAGAGAGAAGCCGGGAGGCTCGTCCAGCCCATGCCCCCATACCCCCAAAGGTGTCCTGGGCCCCTGCCGCAGGCTCAGGCTGTGTGTGTTGGGGGATCCCCAGGTGTGTGGCCACCGCTTCACCCAGGTGCTGTGGTCGGGGTTGGAAGACCAGCGGCGCATGGTGGGCAAGTGCTACGTGCGGGGCAATGACCTGGAGCTGGACCTCAACGATGACTGGCAGACCTACCACTACGAGATGTGCAACAGCAACACCGACTACCTGCAGACAGGCATGTGCCAGATGGGCACCAGCGGTGGCTTCTCCCAGAGCACTGTGTATTTCGGAGCCCCCGGCGCCTACAACTGGAAAGGTGGGGCTCACGGTGGTGGGGGGCTGGGGCGGGGAACAGAGACCACTGGTTTACCGGGACAGCAACCCACAGTTTCCACACAAAGAGGCGGAAGAGATGGGCCCTCTTGCCAGTATGGAAACCACTCGTTTTAAAGCACCTACTGTGTGCCAGGAAACCTTTACACCTACGATGTTAATGAATCTTCCTGATCATCTCATGAGGCAAGGATTTCCCATTTTACCTAACCGAAAGCAGAGCCTTTAATGATGTCAAGAATGGGATGCTATGAAACTCGAGTTGAAACCTAGACTCCGCGACTCCAGTTTAACCAGTTGAAAAGTTTCCTAGAAGTAAAACATTGCCGTAATAAGTTGTTGTAGCAAGTGACCACAACTGGTGGCTTAGGGTAACAGAAATGCAGTCGCTCAGAGTTGAGGTGGCCGGCGTCCACAGCAAGGTGCCAGCAGGGCCGCCCCCAGCTCCTGGCGGTGCAGACAGGTCTTAAGTGTTCTTGGTTTCAGCTGTGTCAGTCTGACCTCTGCCTCTTGGGCCACCTGGCTTTCTGCTCTGTGTGTGTGTCCAGAGCTCCCTCTCCTTTTTCTTACAAAGATGCTTAGGGCCCTCCTGAACCCACCGAAACTTCATCCTGATTTGATTGCATCCAGAAAGACCCAATTTACAAATAAGGTCCTATTTTGAGGTTTCAGGCAGCCATGGAGGAACCCTGGGGGTGGTAGTGGGGCAAGTGCTGGACGGCAAACCTCAAGTTGATAGTAATTTACACCCACCAGCTGCTAGGCGGGAGGAAGATGAGGCTGTCTGCTTCCGAAAAGATTTAGAGTCTCAGAAACCCCAAGGGGCAGGTCTGCTCTGTCTTGTGGGGTCACTGTGAGTTGGAACCACCTTGAGGGGGCTGGAGTAGGTGGCCCCAACCACTAAATAGTACAGTAAGATTTAGTGAAATAAGTGCTTCTCCTCTCCCACCTACCTCCCAAGTTCCACATCTTTCCTCTCTTATTTTAAGACATATAGGTTATTGTTTTATTTGTTGTTGTTTTTTTTAAAAAAAATACCATCAAAATCATAAACATGCTGCCCTGTTTTCTCTTTTCATTTATCAATAAATTCTGGGAATTTTGTTCAAGTCAAGACATACGATGGGGTTTCCCAAAGTTCCATTCTGTTTTCGTCCCATTTTCCCACGCACTGTGGTCGCCCCATTGGATCACTGTAGGCAGCAAGGATTCCTCGTTGCTTGCAGCTGCCCCTACCCCTGCACACTGCCTTGCTGGCTCACATGCCCCTTCCCCTCCGGCTCTCTGCCACACAGGCTGTGAGCTGCAACAGGCACCTTATGCAGTGGCTCCTTTGTGGTCACGGAATCCACCAGCAGAGGGAGGCCTCTCCAGGTGGTTGGGGGCATGGTCACAGCCCTCCAAAACCCAACCCAACCCAACCCAACCCACTGCCTGCCATCAAGCCCATGCTGATGCCCAGAGACCCTGTAGGACAGAGTAGAACGGCCCCTGTAACGAGACTGTAACTCTTCAGGGGAGTAGAAAGCCTCTCCTTTCTCCTGAGACTGACTGGTGGTTTTAGACTCCTGACATTCAGTTAACTGCCCCACACCTAGCTCACTGCCCCACCTGGGCTCCTGCTCACAGCCTGGGTTCCCTTAAAGCTAAGATCCAACTAGGCCCAACCCCTTCTCTGGCTCTGTCTCCTACCCCCCTTGGTCCCTCAGTTCCTTTTGGGGGTGGGGGTGCACAGGCTCTCTCCAGTAGTAGCCTGGTGAGGAGCAGGGAGGGCCAGGTAGAAAGCCCAGAGTTTGGAGGAGGTCCAGAAGCAGATAATGATGTGGAGCCTAACCTCAGCGTCAAAAAAAGTAGAGGAAATATCACCTAATCTAAAAAGTCCCAAAAGTCCCAAGCCAGGAATCTAGATGCCTGGCTGCCAGTCCTGCCTCTCTAGCCGATCCCCCATGGGGCCATGGGCAAGTCCGTTTCCCTCCCAGAGACTCACACCTGCAAAATGGGCCTCACAGAATGGTTCAAATCAAGAGGTGGCAGGCAAACGACAAAGCACTCACAAATCCAGGGGGTTAGTATCCTTCGGGGCCCCTGCTGGGACAGTAGCTGCGGTTGGGTTGCTAACCCGAAGGTAGGCAGTTTGAAACCACCAGCCGCTCTGCAGGCGCAAGATGAGGCTTTCTACGCCCCTAAAGAGTTACAGTCTTGGAAACTCACTGGAGCAGTTCTCTCCTGACCTATAGGGTAAGGTGACCAGACGTCCCGCTTTTGGCAGGACAGTCCCAATTTTTAACAATTTTTCCCCGCGTCCTGCGGCGTTTTAAAAAAGTCCCAGTTTTTGGAAAGAATGCATGGCAAGCTAGAGTATACGGTTTTCAGCTGCCATGTGGCCATTTCGCCAGGATATGAGTTTTATCACTGGTGTCCCGCTTTACCAATGTTAAACTGTGGTCACCTTACTATAGGGTTGCCGTGAGTCAGCTTCGGCTCAAGGGCAGTGAGTTGGGTTTTGCGCTTTGGGTTTTGGGTTTTGGGAGGGGAATGGGCGGAAGAGTGGGCATGGCGGAAGAAAAGTGTGGCGACGGGTGTCCCTGTCCCATTCTTGTGAAGGAAATGTCTTCATGATTCAGAGGAAGGACTGGGACTTAACAGAGTACAGCGACAAGGACCCAGAAGACCAAGGCAACAGCTACATTGGTAAGTCCAGGCCGGGGCTTGGAGGGGAGGGGGTCCCTGCTGGGCAGGAGGAGGAGGAGGGAGCATTCAGCACAGTGTCCTCTCAGCTTCTGTGTCTGGTGCACAAGTGAGACCAATGGACAAGAAGTGACTAGGAGCCTTCAGCTTAACCAGCCACCATAGATGGGACACCGTCTGTCTACAGGCTCTGATCTCAGTGTGCCAGCGCAAAGGCAGCCCCCCTCCAGCTCAGAGCCCAGGGTGCAGACAGGCCTAGCGGCTTGGATGGACAACCACTGGCCCATGATGGACTAGAAGAAACTGGGAGCGAGGCCTGGGGGTGATCCAGAGAGTAGAGGGGACAGGATTTATGTTGTCTTTGAGTGGCCCCCTTCCCTGTTTCCTAGGGTACACAGTGCAGGTGGGCAGCGCGGTGCTGCACCCGACGGACATCACCATCGTGGCAGGTGCCCCGCGACACCAGCACATGGGCGCCATCTTCCTGCTGAGCCAGGAGGCAGGTGGAGACCTGCAGCGGAAGCAGGTGCTGGAGGGCACGCAGGTGGGCGCCTACTTTGGCAGCGCCATTGCCCTGGCAGACCTGAACAATGATGGGTGAGAGTCTGGGGAGGCCCTGCAGGGCCTGGGAGAGCGGTGGGGGCCAGACAGGGGGACGGAAGCCGCCGTCGGGCCTCAGTCTCCTGGTTGTGTGCAGAGGTCCACAGACCTACTTGGTATGTTGGTTTGCAATCACTCTCTGGGATTCTGGGTATGCGCCTGTCATTTGCATGGCCCCTGTGTTTGCTGGTCTGTGCCCATCATGCATTTGGTCCTACAGGCTGTGGACTATTGGGGTGGGACTGACCTGCGCCCACGTGGCTTCTCGGTGGCCGGTGTCTCCTTTGTGGTGGGGCATGAGGGCATGTTGACGTCCTTCTTGGGACGGAAGGCCAGAAGCAACACTGGCAGGGCTGTGTGCTGGCATAATCCTGCCCGTAACCTATCTCTGCTCCTTATGGGGGCCAGCCTTACGCTCCGCCCCCCCTCCCCACTCTTTTCTCCCATGTAGGTGGCAGGACCTCCTGGTGGGCGCCCCCTACTACTTTCAGCGCAAAGAAGAGGTCGGGGGTGCCGTGTACATCTACATGAACCAGGCGGGAACCTCCTTTCCTGGCCACCCCTCCCTCCTCCTTCATGGCCCCAGCGGCTCCGCCTTTGGCTTTTCTGTGGCCAGCATTGGAGATATCAACCAGGATGGGTTCCAGGGTACGAGCCGGCACCCCTTCCCGACATACCCACTGACGGGAGAGCACAGGGCCCAGAGAGGAAGCCGAATGGGGGTTGGGAACCCACAGACATACTGGAGACAGGACATGCACGGAGAGCAGCCACAGACCAGCTCCATGGACAAGCCAAGCAGCTGGGCCTCTGAGGCTGGGTTGAGTTTGCACAGAGAGGGACAGGGGGTGGCCGATGAGCATATGGGGTGCTTGCCCTGAGTACCCCAATCTAGCAAGCGTGGAGAGTGCCTGTCAGAGATGAGGTGGGAGAGGCGGCTGTGAATAGCAAGCAGAGGAACTGGGGTTTATATTGGGGAATGGCTGGGGAATTCAGTAAAGGCTTTGGTCCATTGACAGATGGTTCTAGAGGGATGAGGGGAGGTCATGGGATGGGAAGCCGAGGAGAGCTGGGCTGGGGGCATTGGGATCCAGGGGACATGAAACGGAAGGGCTCGGATAAGGTAGGAGCCCTTGATACAGAGGATGTCGCCAGTGCTGTACATGACGTGGGGACCAGTCAGACCTGGAGCGTCAAGAAGAGAAACAGAGCAAGGGGTTGGGCCGGTTTGCTGTGGGAGCTTACCCCTAAGTCACTTCTCTGGATTTCCCAGAACTCAGCTGAGAACATGAAGGCAGGCAGGGGAGCCAGTGAGAGGCCAAAATAGGCGCCAGAAAGTTTGCTCAAGAGTCCAGGCACTTGGCCATAGAAGAGTCCTCTGGTTTCAACTCAAGACCTACTCAATGCTTCCTCGTAGACTTTTCTGAGAAACATGGCTGCCTGGTTCTTTATGCATTCTTGAGTCTAAAGCAGCACACCAGGAGACCAGTCACACTGAAGAAGATCAAAGCTTCTTGGGCTTCCTTGTAAAAATCCTGGTTAGAAGAGAAACCTGTCTGACACTTCACCATGTGAAGTTCAGGATCGTTTTCTGACGAAAGTCCCGGCACCTGGTGTTAGACGTGGCCGCAGATCGCCACTCCTCTCACCAGCTCGCTGGCATCTTGCATTTCAGTTTCTCCATCTTTAAAGCGGAGGCAGTAGTACCTACCCTACAACACTCTTGGTAGGATACAATGAAACCGGTGCTTGGCAACCTGGCAAACTCCTGGTGGGGACACCCCACTAGGAGTGCTGGTCAACAGAGCTTGGCTTTATCACCGAAGAGGCGGGGATGTGAGGACGCAGGTTGGTGGGGGAGGTGGGAGGCACTGTAATAGAATGCCCAGCCAGTGGTCAGAAGCTGGGGGTTAGGCCTGACTGTGATAGTATCTTGCTGTGTGGTTTTGGTTAGCCACGTCCCCTTCCTGGGCCTCTTCCCCATCTGGATGGACCTGGCTTTATTCCTGGACCCCACAGTTCTGTTCCCCTCCCTGATGCTCTGGGTATAACTGGGCCCAGGGAGGGCAATGCCATCTGGCTGCAGTCCAGGGCCAGGGAGCAGTGGACCCAGGGTGACCCCATCCCTCTCTCTTTCCCTTCCCCAGATGTTGCTGTGGGTGCTCCGTTTGAGGACTTGGGCAAAGTGTACATCTACCACAGCAGCTCCAGGGGGCTCCTCAAACAGCCTCAGCAGGTATGGATAGGACAGGCGAGATGGACATGCTGCCTTGTGTACACACACACACACACACACACACACTGAAATGGGCCTGTCTGCCTTCCCGGGTACCCCTTTCCTACTGGGTCCCACTCAGAACCTTCCAGCACTGCTGTCCCTGCATCTAGGTGGTCCACGGGAAGAAGCTGGGACTTTCTGGCTTGACTGCCTTTGGCTACTCCCTGAGTGGGCGGATGGACGTAGATGAGAACTTCTACCCAGACCTGTTGGTGGGCAGCCTGTCGGACCAAATTGTGCTGCTACGGTGAGCTAGGGGATGGTAGGCAGGGGCCTGGCTCTCCTCCAAGCCCATCTCTGGCCGTGCGAACCAGAGACACCCCAACTCTGACCTGAGGTGGGGCAGCCATGAGGCACTGACAGCTGCCTGTCTTCTGCTTTCTGTGCAGAGCCCGGCCAGTCATCAACATCCTCCACAAGACGTTGGTGGCCAGCCCATCTGTGCTGGACCCCACACTCTGTACAGCCACCTCCTGGTGAGACCCTGCATCCTTCTGTGCCCACACAGCCCCGTGTCTGGGGTAAACACACAGGTCACCACACCACCCCAAACAGCTCCTGACATGCCACCTTTGGGTGTGACTCGGTAGTGACCATTGCTCTCCCTCCCTGGCCTCACTGAAAAGGGAGAAGCCTGCAGAGGAAGCTGGGCAGCAGCTGGGTGGGGGTGCTTGAGTGAGGGAACGCTAGGCAGCCTGGCTCAAATCCCCATGGCAGGTCCGGAAAAGCAGGCGTTTGGACGCTCAGAGGGGGGACAAGAGGGAGGGCCACCTGGGGCAAATGGTTCCTCTCGCCAAGGCTCAGGTTGCTCACCTGCTAAACAGAGTTAAGAACAGTAACCAACTCGCAGGGTGTTGAGGCCAATGAAATGAGGTGAAGTCCCAGAAGCACTCAGAAAATATGAGTTGCTGTGAGAGTGGTGACAAGGACAGTGGTGTCCCCTTCGTGTGAATGGGGACATCATGTCAGAAGGCACAGGGAGACAACAGGCAAGCCATACGGCGGGGGTGGGAGTGGGGGGTGTGTGTGAAGGTGACCAGGACTGGGATCAGGAGGCCTGGGTTCAAAACGGAGCTTGGCCACTGATGACGTCAGGAGTCTTTCTGCCCTCTTGGTCTCCGGTGCCCCACTGAAGAGGTGAGGGGGCTGGGGTCCTGAGCCTGACCCTGTGTCCTATGACTCTTAATGGGAGTAGGGAGGTATGGGATCAGGGGCGCCAACAGGCTGGCTTTGTGGATGCCTCAGTTTGAACACCATCTCTTCCCTCTGGGACTCTGGTGCCCCCTCTCTAGTCCAGGGGGCTGAGAAGTAGGTACCCCTTTTAACAAAGGTTTCTATTCCATACCCCCCAACAGTGTGCAGGTAGAGCTGTGCTTTGCTTACAACCAGAGTGCCGGGAACCCCAACTACAGGCGCAACATCAGTGAGTACAGGGGTGCAGGGTGAGGGGGGCATGCTTGCCCGACCACGTGCTGACCACCCTGCCCTCCTTGCCCAGCCCTGGCCTACACCCTGGAGGCTGACCGGGACCGCCGCCCGCCCCGATTCCGCTTTGCCCGAAGCCAGTCACCCATCTTCAACGGCTTCTTCTTCATGCCTGAGATGCACTGTGAGACACTGGAACTTCTCCTGATGGTGAGGGGAGGGGTCCAGCCCCCCAGGGATGTGGGCAAAGTCCCAGGTCAAGGATGTGGGGCTGGGATCCCCTAAGAGACAGGTGGGTTATGGTAGAGAAGAGAGTGGGCCCTGAGCTGGGGTCAGAGGGCCCCTCACTTCGGAAACCAGTGAGGAGTTGGGGACACTTGGCCGGGGGAATCACGCTGTGGGGCGAGGGACTGCGAGTGGAGGCAGGCCTAGCCCCTCTGGGACATCTGAGAGGGGCAGCTTGGCTTCCCTGGAGAGATCTCTGGCAGGGAGAAGCCATCACCTGTTCCAGGGAGCTGGAGGGAGAGACTCAACCTGGAGATCAGCTAACTCAGCGTGCTTTGGAGTGAAGTCAGGGGTCAGGGGTGCACAGGTTCAGCTTAGCGGGAAGTCCGTGCAGGCTGGGCTCAGTGCGCCACCCTCCCTCTCCAGGACAACGTCCGCGACAAGCTCCGGCCCATCGTCATCGCCATGAACTACTCTTTACACTTGCGGATGCCAGAGCGCCCCAGGCTGGGGCTGCGATCCCTGGACGCCTACCCCGTGCTCAACCAGGCGCAGACTCAGGAGAACCACACCGAGGTGGGTGGGGCGGCCGGGAGGGCGGGCATCTCAAGGGGAAGGGGCTGTGGGGCGAGCGGGCACCGCGGGCGAGGCTGCCCCTCACACCTTGGGCCCCCCAGGTCCAGTTCCAGAAGGAGTGTGGGCCCGACAACAAGTGCGAGAGCAACTTAGAGATGCGGGCGGCCTTCGTGACCGAGCAGATGCAGCAACTGAGAAGGTGGGTTCTGAGCCTCCTCGCTGATTGGTCGGGGGTGGGGCGGGCCCTCACTAGCCAATCCTGGGGTTTCATTGGCCAAAAGGGCTGGAGGGGCGGAGCCCTAGTGATATAGGAGGTCCGAGGGGTGGGGCGAGATCTGAGAGGCGGGGCTTCACTGGCCAGGGGCGGGGCCACAAAAGAGCCTAACTGGGAGGGGTTTTATTTTATTTTTCTGCCAGTTTTAATTGGCCAAATAAAAAACCAAAACAATACAAGCTCACTGCCTACGAGTCAATTCCGACTTAGAGCCACTCTGTAAGGCAGAGCGGAACTGCCCCTATGGGTTTCCGAGAACTCTTTACAGAGTAGAAAGCCGCGTCCTTCTCTCACGGAGCTGCTGGTGGTTTTGAACTGCTGGCCTTGCAGTCAGCAGCCCAACGTGTCACCCACTATGCCACCAGGGCTCCAGGTAGTCTGTAATTGTCCGCATTCCCGGGCCGAAAAGGGGCCCTCCTGCAGTGACACTTGAGGACTTGCTGCCCAATCAGACTTTATAACCCCACAGGATCCAAAGCCTGGCCCCCCACTCGTGGATCTGGGGAGGACCCTGGGGGCGCGGTATTCTGACTTCCCTACCCGCAGGCTCCAGTATGGCAGAGACGCCCGGAAACTGTTCCTGAGCATCAACGTGACCAACTTCCCGAGCCCTCAGCGCGCTGGGGAAGATGCTCATGAGGCCCTGCTCACCCTGGAGGTGTCCCCCGCCCTGCTGCTGTCCTCTGTGCGCCCGGTGAGTGCACCCCAGCCGCCCGGCACACAGCCTGGCTCTGCCCATAGTGCATTGGCATCCTGTGCATATCATTTACACAGGCTGCCATTCATTCTCCAGGTGCCCCCTGGCCTGATATTACTCTGCTGTTAGGGGAGCCCCAGGGTTCTCAAGCCTCCAGGCTTCTGATCTCCCCTCCACCACCACCAGAGGGGCAGATCTGGGGGCAAGCTCCGCCCTGACAAGAACCTGAGCTTACCCCCTTCCCTTCCTTTCTCAGTCTGGGGCCTGTCAGGCCAATGCCACCACCATCGTGTGTGAACTCGGGAACCCCTTCAAACGGAGCCAGAGGGTGAGCCTCAGCCAGCCCCTCCCAGTCCTCCTTGGCCGCAGGCTACCCCTCGGTGGAGCTCTGCTCACTCACCTGCTGAAAGCTGGAGTAGGGATGGGGAAGATGGGGTGAGGCAGGGAGACTGTTTCAGGGAGGAGGTGGGGCCCTAGGAAGCACATGCTCACAGCTGGAGCAGGTGGAGGTGAGAAACCCAGTCTTGCGGAGCACCTGCCAGGTGCCAGGCCCTGAGCTTGAGGCTTTGTTTTGTTTCTGTCGGATGTTTTCACAACCTCTGAAAGAGCCAGGTGCTGTTTCACCAAAGAGGAGATGCAAGCTTAGTCAGCAAGCAGAGAAGAGGGGGTCAGAGGGAAGCAGAAGTGAGGTGGGGAGGGGCAAAGTGCAGAGGAAGAGGAAGCCGAGAGCCCACTTCACCCTGACCCGGGCCCTGCCAGACCCCAAATGCTCCTCTCCGCCTCCCCTGACCCTCATGACAGATGGACCTGCTCATTGCCTTCGAAGTCATCGGGGTGACCCTGCACACAAGAGAACTCCAGGCACTGCTGCAGCTCTCCACGTGCGTGCCCCCTGGAGGCCAGGCTGGGGAGGGACCCAGGTGTCCCCCGGCCTCGGCTGAACCTGTGTCCCTCCCCAGGTCCAGTCACCAGGATAACCTGCAGCCCATAACCCTGCCTCTGCTGGTGGACTACACGCTGCAGGCCTCCCTCAGCATGTGAGTCCTCTCTGCCCCAACTCCACCCCGCCTAGAGCCTCCCTTGGCCCCAGCATGTCTCCCAAACTCCGCTGATGCCCCTTCCGGTAAAGCAGCAACAGGACGGGAGTCGGAAAGCCTGGGGCCAGGGCTTGGGAGCAGCCTGGTCACGTTGTCCTGAGAGCTCAGTGGGCTCAGGATGGCCTTCACGTCATCTCTTTGAGTCCTCACAGCAGCCCCGAGTGATGTGGCCACCGCCATGGACCCAGGTCACAGATGGGGAAAGCAAGGCTCAGAGAGAGACAGCACTTGCTTGAGGCCACACAGCTCGACGAGGCCAAG